CCACTAGCTAGTGTAAATGGTGCGGCGGGCTTCAAACATGTTCCCCTCCACTGGTTTCAACCAAGCACTAAATTAGCTGTTTTCCAACCAAATACGGTTGAACTGACACTTCCCCATATTAATTTGTAAGTAGATTCGAAGATACATGAGTTTCTGACTGCCGCAAGCTGAAGCTTGGTTGCTAGGTTACTAGCTGGGTGTTCTCCAATAAGGGGCCGGGGGAAACAAAGTTAGTGATTACTGGTTCCATGTTGATTTATTTCAATATAAATAGTTGGGGGAACTGAAGGGCTCTTAACGTACTGGTTACTTTGCAGCCCGGACATTTCCCCCAAAACACATTCAGACGCTATCGCAACACAGAAGTACCTTTCAAATCCGATCCTTTTACGACCTTCTAAATCATATTTAAGACCTTTCTTATTTTTTGGTCATATTTAAGACTTTTTTAAGGCCTTAAATTCAGATTATCAAATTTAAGACTTTTTAAGACCCCGCGGGAACCCTGTATATAAATTAATTCTTAATTTACTTTGCAATGTGAAGCAATTGGACGTTAGCCTATCTGTATCAACAAAGCAGGTGTCAGTGTTGCAGTAGGGGAGAAACGATCAGATTTGACCCTAATCAACTTGTGAGCAAAAAAAGGATTATCATTGAATCATTTAATATCTGCAACCAAATTAAACTGTAAGCTATTAACGGTTTCCCATAGCTGGTAAAGTATAACCAGAATCTTTATGATTTAAAAAAGAAATAAAACTACCAACAATACTCAAATTTACAGTGAGATAGTATTAGCAACATTTGTGCTGTGCTCAGTTTTACCAACAAATAAAGTGATTTAAATAATCTGGAGTAAGTGATGGTTTGTTAGTCTGCTTCTCTTTTCACACTTTGCTACCACACCATTAGTTAAAATTAGTAAGTTTTTTTTTTAGGACATTTGTGACATGTGGTGAAAATGTTACAATTTTAATAATCCACCAGATGGAGTTGTAGGTCACAGCATCAACTCAAACTGGGATTTAAAAAAATATTCTTCTGAGTATTGAATACCGTGTGGATTAAGTAATAACAAATAAAATAAAGATCAAGTTAATTTTGTCGATAATGATTTATAAGCTTTTTGAGATTATAGCAGCCCCAGCCGGCAGAATGACCCTGGGTTTTGCTGCATACCTCGGAGAAGCACCAGACTCAGTTGATAGCTGAAGAAAAGATGCTTTATAGTTTGGATAAAATAGTACACTTTTTCATAACTTGAAATATGAAGTAAGGCAATACGTTTCCTGATGTCCATCCCAAACTTTTCCTAAGCAAAATTATGTGAGTATCTGAAAATCTTAACACCTGTGCAACTGGATCAAATTGGATGGGAAGTTTAAAAAAAACAAAAACACACAAAACATGTGTCCACACACAAGTTATCCAAGGAATTCAGGTATTGTGAGAGAGGTCTTATTTGGGCGTACCTGTAAATGCCGACCACCACAGCGTGGTCTCTCTCGTAGGGCTCCAGTGTGAGCTGCTCCTGTGGCTTCATGTTCTCCCCAGCCATCTTCTTTACCTCTGAGGCAAACACTGCCTCTGGAGGCGCTGTCGAATCTATACAGTTAGCCTAAAGAAATACAATTGTACATGCACTGTTAAGAAACAGATCAAATCAGCTGAGTTCCTGTAGATTTCAACAGAGGTCCAAGGGAACCTTTCTTAATTTACAACATCTGAAAATTCATTGAGGGGACGCAAGCTGTTTGCCCCTGATAATGCTACATTGTAAACCAACTGAGAATAAAATGCAACTTTCTAATGATCTCTTGTTACACACAAGTAACATTTAATTTACAGACACCATAGCTGGAGTTAGTATTTCATGCATTATGGCTGCTTAAGTGTACCTTAATAGAGATAACAAAGTGTCCTCCATTCTTCAGGAAGTTGTGAGCATTCAAAGCAACAATTCTTGTCTGGTCAGGCTGCGCAACATCAGCAAAAATCACATCCACCATGCCTACAGAGGGAGAGAACATTACAGTCAGAATCACACATTTATGTTAAAGTGGATTCTATCCAACTCCGTGTTTGCTGTGAGCTTTATGCTTTTTCCACTTTCTGACAATAGGCAGATCTTTAAAGTTACATGAAAATTGTGAACTTTGGGTAAATTGGTCATGTTAAGTTCTTGGTTGCGTTGTGTTTTCAGAACACATGGCAATGGCTTTGGACTACCTACCAACAAGCATGCGGTATTTGTGTGGGTGGCGGGCATCTTCGATGATGGGAATGATGTTGGTGCGTTTCTTTGCCACGTTGAGAAGGTCACGACCTGAGCGATGGGAAAACTCAACAGCGTAGACCAGCCCCTCCTGAAACACAAGACACAGGTTACTATAAAGAAAACATTTAGAGCTGGGAATATATATATATATATATATATATATATATATATATATAACAACTCATTCTATATTATGTCAGCTTAGTCTTACATTAAGGTTTAACTCTGCCCAGTGATCTTTTCAGTTTAATTTAGAAGTCTTTCATGCAAAGATCTTGGCACAAGTCATTTTAACACTGAACCTTTGGCTAAAAAAGTGGAACAATCATTTGCTTGTGGCCAACCTTTATCTTCAGCATATCAAATGTGTTTACTTTATGTGTGGAAAGATAATGTCTTTCAGAGATATCAGAATTATGCTGGCTGACCAGTCTGAGCTTAAATAAAAATAAAATGTGTTTTTGTAAAAGATGATTTAAATTCAAAAGAATGCTTGGAGAATAAATTCTTAAGGGAATTTGTGAGACCATAGAATTGTAGATGTAGCTGCCATATTTTAGCATTTATTAAAATACAGTCAACTTTTAATAATTTAATTAAAATCAAATTAAGATTGACAAATTCCATTTAGGAATAAACTGTCTTACTCAGTGTGTAGTACTCACAGGTCCAACAATGTCAGAAACGTGGGACACCGTGGTGCCAGAGGCAGCTCCCAGGTACATGACCTTTGAGCCGGGCTTGATGTGGATCTGGTCAACTCCTCCCAAGATGGCTGCTGCCAGCTTTGAACGGAACGGATTCCAGGCTCTGTACTCAATCTTTGTTTCTCCTTCCTAACAGACAAAGAAAGACATAAAAAGAAAATCAGAATTTACAAAACATGTAACACTTAACTCCATAGTTGCTGCAACATTCACAAACAAAGACAAGCGTCCGATCATCAACAGAGCACCATATTTGACACAAGGGCAAACAAGAGTATTGGTGGCATGCTAACATACGGCTCAATGAGCTGACAAAGGGTTACTTTGAATTAGGATTATTCACTTGCTGCCAAGACTGTTTCACACAACCACGGGTGCAGCTAAAAATAAAGATGTCATAAATGCCATTATTGATCAAACCAACATAATTTTAACAGATGTACAATGATAGACAGTTCCACTAAGTGTATACGAGGCAGTGATATAAGCCTGCTAATTAAGAATGTGAAGTTTCTGCCACCTTGGATTTCCATTCCAACTTTATTTATATAGCACATTTAAAAACAACTGAATTGACCAGTGCTATACATCAATATATATATAAAAAGCAGCATAAATACATTTAGACAGAACCAATAGGACCAAAGGGTTAGGGACCAAATGTAATTGTTTATTATCGTAGATCTGAGCACAGGGCTTTTATTAGTCAATAGGTGGTGTTTTACAAAAAGTAGACCTGTTGACCACAATATGCCACTTAAAGCTTCACACCTACAGGGTTAACGAACCATGGCGTTTTACTCCGGCCAGAAGTAAACTACCGTAATTTTCGGACTATAAGGCGCACCTGAATATAAGCCGCAGCAGCTAAATTGAATGATGTGTACATATATAAGCCGCACTGGACTATAAGCCGCAGTTGTTTTAATGTTTAATTACCATATGTAAGGGTTCATGCACAGAGGGGATTGTCGGGAAAGAGATGACTGTTTGAGGAAGCTCCCATTTATTAACATTTCAACAAACAAGTTGCATATTTGCATAACGTATTCAAGTGTTACCATTTAGTGCAATAGTAGCTACAGAACATGTACTGTGCTGTGTAAACTGTACTTTATCACATAGCGTTTCAGACACACAAACTTTTCAACTTTCAAACTCCCAGCGCACGTACCGGCAGTGATCTACAGCAGTGGTTTTCAACCAGTGGTACGGGGACAAACTGTCTCGCTCTCGTAATGTCTGTCTGTCTTGCTCTCGTTCTGCCTCTCGTACCACTCTCGGTTCCACTTTTACTTTTGCGCGCCACCTGTCTCGCTCTTTTCAGGCCTCCAGCTTTTCCTGCTGGAGCCCGCCGCTTAAAGGTGGGGGGCGCAGACCGGCCATAGAGCCCATAGCGTTAAAGGTGGTGGACTGTAACCTGTAAAATCCATAGATTTAGGAGGTCCCACAGTGGCCGTTAGCTGTAAAAATCCATAGATTAGCCTCACCGTTACATAAGCCGCAGGGTCGAAAAATGGGGGGAAAGGCGCGGCTTATAGTCCGAAAATTCCGGTACTGTCTTAGGACTGAAACTCGGGCTAAGACCGTAGTTACTTGATAACATCAAGACCAGCTTTGTACTACAGACTTTAGGACTGAAAGACTGACGCACAAATGTACTTTGTATTTGACGAACAGATAATGCATGCATAGTTTTCAATGCTATAAGGTCTAAACTGAGAGTGTCTCACCTCAATACTCATCCTCTTTTCTCCATACACTGACTCCCCAACCACCATGTTTCTGGTCACCAGGGCATCCTCCTTCCCTCTGCAGATGAACACACCTGAGTGGACACAAAACAAATCACCAGTCAGAACTTAAGGACATATTTAGTCTGTTAAACATAGGTAAATATAGTCAGACGGACAGATAATAGTTCCCAGTTTATCTACAAGTTGATATATGCTCTTAAAAAATAAACATTACATCTTCATTAGTAGATCTAATGAAAGCCATCTTTTTTGTTTTACGTATGAAAACTCCCAAGCAGTGGTTCTAGCACAAATATTATTAACGGTAATAATACAAACCTTCATGTCTGTGTGGCTCAACCGTGATCTTCTTTCCTGCTCCGAATCCTCCTCTGCCGCCACCCCTTCCTCTGGGGGCACCTCTGCCGCCACCCCTGCCCCGGAATCCTCCACCATCTGGGGACCTGAATCCACCTGAAAACAGAATGTTCGCAACTTAATGTGTTGCATTCAACCAAAACTAACCTAATCACGAATAGATAAATATCTTACAACCAACAATTGCTCCAAATGGCTGTTGTCATGCCACATGTGATTAACTTCAATATGTGATAATGCAGATGACTCACCTCTTCCTCCCCGGTCACCGAATCCTCCTCGTCCTCCCCTGTCACCGAATCCTCCTCGTCCTCTTCCTCCTCCCCGGTCACCAAAGCCTCCCCGTCCTCTTCCGCCTCCTCTGTCCCCAAATCCTCCACGCCCGCGAGGGGTGAACCCTGAAAAGCAAACACATAATGGGTGGCATTAGAAGGTTATGTGGGCTACAACACAATAGGACTGCAACAGCTGTGTGTTGGGCTGCTCTCTCCTACTTGTTGCATGTGCAATTGTTACAATACAACAGAATATGATGGTAATATGCTGTAGTAGCTAACAATTGTGTATACAATCTTAACTTAATACACTACAAATTAGACGATATGAAAATGTTCTTTCTTGATGTTTTTTTTTGATCGGGTCTGGTTGTTGCCAGTGGTGGCCAAAGCCCCGCCCCGTTTTGCTGAGCAGGAAATACAATGGACACTTTGCTGTGGTGAAAAAGCATGGCTGCACGTGTGACTCAAGTAAACTGGGTGAACATGCCAACATGTAGACACTGTTGATATCCGTAAAAAATCCGCGATTAGATTGTCCTTGTCAATTAACTGTATGAAGATTTTCAAACTTTCATCGATTATATTGGTTAAGCATTCTGGAACTCAAAATACACGCAATAAAGGGTCCAGCGTCTTCGCAGTTTTACGTTACTTTAACATAATTTGCAACGCACAAGCACATTTAGCATTGCATCCACAAAACGAAGGTGAATCTTAAAACACAGGTGAAACACGGATTTACAGTTTCCAGTAAATACAAACGAGGTTTCGACGCGAGCGTATGTTAGTAGAAACTATCGATAACTTCCTAAAATAGTGGAACACAGTATACAAGAAAAAGGTTTTCAGACAGAAACACTGCTATGTATCAATGAGGTTGCTTGCATAGAAGGACGTGTCTGGTTGTGTTCAGCTCGTGGAGCTAACACGTGTGCTGTACTTTAGTGAGTGCTGAGCTGCTACTGAACGCAATTTAGCCGTTTATTCAACCCTAATCGCACGTTTCTATATTTATATCTACAGTCACAGCGATCCTAGTCAACGGAGAAAGCGCCCATACAAGTTATTTAACTTGTCTTTGCGCGGCCAACAGTTTAACATGAGGTAAACGGAGCCGCATGGCGGTGTAGGCCACGCTCACATCAATACCTTTAACTTTAACGCAGCAGCTTAACCACAAATACATGATGATCTAACTAGTTAACATTACTTTAACACGATGGCTTACTGTACCTGGACTCATGTTTTCTGGTTTAGCGTGTTATATCAATGCAGGCGACGGTCCTCTTTGCTTCCTCCTCTCTGTGTCTGTTCCTCACAGTGACTCTCTCTCTGCGTGGAACAGCAGCACGTGTGAAGTCTCCTCACTGATTCACTTCTTTTCGTGAGTCTCCACCGCAGAGCATAGGGGACACCAGCGCCACCACCTGGTCTGGGGGACTTATAGATGGGAAAAAACAGCAACTTTTTACTTTCTGTATTGTCGACAGAACCTTGTAAGAATGTGAAGGATAAAGCCAGAGCTGCTTAAAAAAATCCTGGTATTGCTGCCGTTTTTGCTAAACCGGCAAATAAATCAGTGGCTGTTCAGTGCTGACTGTAGCCACTACTTTCTGTGAGGATATCTAAATATATCCAGAATGTAGTGAAACCCTTAATAAAGTCTATAGTGTTATTCACAAGCTGAGCAGATTTGACATAAGCAAACGTCAGAATGAAAACTTATAATAAAAAAGAAACAAGTAAAACAAAGTTATAGTCTTTTACAGGAAAATAACATGTTAAAATAAATTCCCAAAAATCATTAAGTTTGAATAAGTTAATCACTAAGATGCGGTAGGAATAATATACACTATGGATAATGGATGATTGCAAGGTTTATGATGTTCAGTTTAAACCAGTATAAAAATGCCTACTGATGATCATGATTCTGTCTTCAGGTGCAGGTGGAGTTCATTGAAGAAAGAAATGTGGGGGCGGATTTATTTTTGGTCTGATTTGTTTATATTGAGAGCTGTGCGCTTTGGATCTGAGGTCTCTACAAGAAGCATAATTTAGTAGCATTTCACTGAAACATAACTAAAATCCTGGCGCAAATTGAATGACTCAACGAAGGATATATTGGGTTTTAGTTCATAGTATATATTTAACTTAGATTCTTTACACATTCAAAATAAATCCTGTTCTAAGGAAACCACTTGGGTCCAAGTCTATGATGATAAATCAACCTGCAAATTGGTCTATTATGAATTAAAAACTAAGATTGCCATCACTGATGACAACAGATTTCTGCAGTTTCCTTAAGTAAACTGGGTGAACAACAGAAGTCTATACTAAAAAATAAATAAAGTGTCTGTTTCATCCTAATGGTTAATAATATCCCTTTCAACACTGCAAAGCCTGTGCCAGAGGTTTTGGCCAGAGACATGCTTTTGTTTTGCTGATCAGGGTCTGATAATAGCGCCGGCGAGCGCCGGAAACACTTGAAACAGACTATTCCTACACAAGATCAGAGTAGTTCTTTCACCTCAAACTCTTCCATTAACACCCTGAGTACGTTTGCAGCTGTGTGTTTTACTCCACTTTGTTGTAAATAAAACTGCAGCAGCATGATCACAGAGCGTGAACGTTGTGATCAGCTGATTTTGCGCAGTTCTCCAGTGTGTGCGCGGGGCACAGCATGTGCAAAGCGGAGTCTCCCTCCGTCGCCAGTTGGCGTAGTTTTGGCACAATTCCGTTGTACACACACCGACGTTAACAGCGGCCCCGTCTGTATGGCGTTATATTTGTGCCTCTATCCTGAGCACGCAATGAAACATGTTGAGCCTAGAAAATGCGATTGAGCGCACACTTGAAAATGTTTGAGCACAGAGAAATATATTTTCTTTCATAAAACTCCTGCTCCGTGCGCAAGCAGACCGCTGCACGCGCTCTCTCTCCCCCGCTCGCTCGACCTCTCCACCCTGTGCGCGCTCAGCTTCGCCTGTGCGCGTCGTAAAACCCGGAAGTAAACTTCTTCCGGTTCCTTTGTCAAAAACCAATGCAAATTCTCCATAGGATTTTGGAAAATAGCTCGAAATAAGGTCTATGGTTGACACACAGTTAAGAGAGGCATCACGTTTTGTTTAGCCGGATAATCTCCACATGTCAACCCTACTTTTATAATTTTTGAATCATAAATCTAGTCGCCAGAAGCAAAATGCTAACGTTATGCTATAAACGAACTACAAGCCAGTACAGCAGCAGGGTCGCACGACTTTAACGTCACGCCAATTTAAGATTGTTTCAACTGACTTGCACTGAAACTGCACTTTGAACACTTTAAATATATTAACATTTTAAACTGTATACCCCGGTTATCTAGGCCCT